CCCGGGGCATCAATCAGGGTGCGTCCTGTGTGCCTGCTGGTGAGTCTGTAACTGAGAGCTCCCTGCCTGCCCTGGGGAGGCAGCAGCAAAAATACCTGTGTGGCCAGTGTGGATTTAGCCTGAATCAGTTTGTAGCCAGTGTTTCTGCAGGGTGCAGTCTCAGCTGCTGCTGCAGGAGCACTGCCACAGGTACCTGTGGCCATCACCTAAGGCCCTGCCTGCAGAGCCAACCTGCTTCCTTGTATATCCTCTTTCCCCCACTTATTATTGTAATAAGTAGTAATAGTTAAATTTACTCATCAAATTAGTAATAATAGAAATTTACACATTAAATTGTAGTGCATGTTATATTCTTATATATATGTTATTATAATCACTGTTCTGTTACGGTTAGGAGACTGTAAGTTGTAGAATGGTTCATTAATCTATCAGCATTGTAAGCTGACAAAGCATGTAGCTTGCATTTCTTAAGCTAGAAAGACAAACTGTTGTGCCTTATTAAGTAAATATTTTTGTATCTTACTGTTATAAAAAGCTTATTATCTCATAGCAAGCATAAAGTAACGGAGGGAAGGACAAGAATCAAAGAGTCAGGAGCGAGAATGATACAGAGTATGCAAGATGGACATCTGGAGATGCCTGGGCACTGAGCTGCACCCTGGGCCTCAAGGACTAAAGACTGATTGAGACTGTGGACAGGAAAGCACCTGGCAACCGAAGCGAGAATGCAGAGAAGCCAACCAGGATCAGACCTGCAAAGCTCAGATCCAATAGAAAAACAACAAGTGACAATGGGAGGGAAACCAATAAGGGAATAAAAGTTACTGGTTTTGTTCACTGCGCTGGCGTGCCGTGAGTGGAGCAGGAGACTCCCCGGCCGCCCAGCATGCTGGTTTGCTTATTTGCATTTTCTATAAATCTTCAATAAATTTTTATTACTATATTTCAACTCAGTTTCATTTTACTTATAACATTATGGATTTATCCTTTCCTTCCACTCCACATCTCCCCAACGGGACGAGAAGTGACTCAGCTGTTCCTCACGAGCCCACAGATCAGGCAGCACCTGATCTCTGCAGCACCATTTATTTATTTCAGTTCTTATCCCTCCAGGCACTCACTGATTACCCCACCAAGTCCATACCCAGTAAGTGCCAGCAGCCAGTGTGCCCTGGGGCAGAGCAGTTTGGGGGCTCACAGCACCCTCCTGCAGGGACAGTGGAGCCAGGCTCTTCCCAGGCACATGGGAGGAGTACAAGGGACAAGGGGGAAAAGCTGAAACAACAGATTTAGCCAGGACAGCAGGGGAGGTTTCTTCCTGCAAAGACAGCCAAGCAGTGGGACAGCTCAGCTGGGGAGGTTTCCAGGACTGCAAAGAGCTCAGGGCAACTTGTGGCTGACCACAAGCAGGAGGCTGGAATGCAGCCCTCCAGAGTCCCTTTCCACAGGAATTATCCCACACAGCTCCTTCTGCCACGCTCTTCCTGCAGCACCCGGATCACTGCAGGTGGTGCAGCTCATGAGCAGCTCTTTGCTTTCCCCTCCTGCCTCGTGCACTGATTTACCACCTGCTTTATCATCTTTAATCAGCAGCTGGATTGAAAGGACTATTTTCTTGTGTTTTGGTGGTGTTTCAGTTAAGGTCTGTGGTAAATCTCCTGTTCTTCCACACCTCCCAGCCACAAAATACCACATCCCTCACCTGTTCCATGTTTCTCTCCACAGAAGTTCAGCAGCATAAAGGTCCCAGGGGAACCCACCCATAGCAGCTCCAAGAGCAGAGGTGAATCCCAGCAAACTGCACATGGCATTTCTACCAAAGCCTTTCACACCAGCTCTGGCACTCTGTACACCAAAGTGCTGGCTTAACATTTGCTTTAGCAAACTCCAAAAAACAAGGAATCTAAACTTACTCTCCAAGGAAAGATGAAGCAACAATAACAAGGAACATCTACACCCCTCCCCGCCTGAACCAAGAAATATTAGACCAAAAGCTCCCACTGAATTGTGGAAGAGGGAAATTACCTTCACAGACTGGTGCTGCTGCTGGAAGAGGCAGAGATCCATCTACTCCCACATTCCTGGCTCCAGAGGAACACCAAGGAGAGCACAACCAGCCCCTGTGCCCTGGGCTCTGATGTAGCACAGCTGTGCCCACAAGTGCTTTCAACTGCTCAGGAATGCAATTTCTCAAATGATCTAGATGCAAGAACTAAGGCACAAGAGATCCCTGCCCTCTACACAACGTGGAAAACTTCCCAGAAGGCGTTTTAATGTGCATTATTACCAGAATAAGCCACAGCAGACAATTTCTCATTTCTTACTGAAGGATACAGGAGCAGAGGGCGATTGGCACAGATGAGTTAGAAAGAGGCCGTGGGTGCTTGGGAAGATCTGTCCTTGTTTGCCTGATACTCCCATTCACAGGTGGCAGACACTGCCTGCCCCCAGGCCCCAGTTCAATTGGGAGATTTGAAATGGCCCCACTTCCCCCATTCAAATGGGAGAACAGGAAAAATGAGCACAGAAGTGTCCTGTACAGTGGACACAAAGAGAAGAACATGTGCAGTGAAAGAGAGGGAAAACATGAAATATTGGAGAAAAAAAAATAGAAAAGGAAGGTCTAGTCAGTAGAATTTGGCTTCTGTTATGGATGGGAAAAAAAATAAAAGGAAAAGAAAGAATAAACAGTTTCATTCTGAAAATGCAACTGTCTTAGAGTACCAGAGACACATCTGTGCAGGCAGCTCCACCAGAATGTTTTCCTTGTTTTCCTCTGCTTTCCAGGGCACTCAGGACTGCTCTTACTGCAGGGTCTGGGTTTACCTGCCCTGTACTTCTTCACCCCGTGTCCCACTAAATTAGCTTGGGGTCTCCTCTCCAACCCCAGGTCACTGGCAAAACAGTGCATTCCCACTGTCAGGACTGCACTTCTGGTACCTCTCAAAACCATTTCTACTCTGGGTCACTGAGCAATAAAAGTTTCAAATTCTATCAGAGCACCTGGTAGAGGGAGGAGCTGAGGCACTGCCAGCTCCCAGCCTGGCTCTGCTGCCCTGGGAGCCCTGCTTAAGGATAAATGGATCTGCTGGCTCCTTTCCCTTCTCCCTCTGCTAAATAACACCATTCCAAAGCACTGGCTGATGGCAGCATGCAGCCACTGAGAATTGCCCCTGAGTCTGCTGTCCCATGGAAAACCCCAGTGCTGAGCTCAGCTGAAGAGCTGCAGCTGCTGGTTACAACACTCACATGCAAATGGAAGTACAAAACACCCACAAGGTAAACAGCACCACATTGAAGCATGCAAAAAATGCATTACAGCAGCTCTACTTCCTATTTCCTTTTCCTTACAGCTCTGAAAATAACCAAGTTTCAAAGGTCAGGGGGCTTTTTGGGACAGTTGCTTGTAATCTCACCGCTGTGGGAGTGGCAGGGGACTCAGGAGCCACGTCCCAAAGACACACCATTTCCACAGGATCATCATTTAGGTTGGAAAAGCCCTCTGAGATCTGTGGCCAGAGCCCTGCAGATAGCATGGTGTAAATATCTTACTCTAGCTTGTAGTCATATAAGAGGGAAATGTTTTGTGGGAAGGACAATAAATGTCCATTTGAAGACAAAATGCAATAGGAACATCAAAGATTAATTTAAAATAGCTCAAGCATGTCTTGGTCCACGGCTCAGGAATCCCTGGCCAGCCACTGGTGAGAGGGCTTGGAGCTGGTGAAAGAGGCAATGTTAGGAAACGGGAACTGAAGCAACATCTACTGATGGGAAAAGGGAAGTGGCTGGGATATTTCTCAGCTGGTTTCACATCCAGGCACCTCCTTTCATGCACCATCACTCCTGCTTTGTAAGGAGTGGAAAAGGGAAAGGTCAGGGCCAGACCCCAGACTGCCCAGGATGTCAGAAACCAACTGCACAGGGACTGACTCGTGGGGCACTTCTTACTGAGGAGATCCTTTCCCTCTTGTGGCCTTACTTTAGAATAGCCAAGTACATGGGAGGGTTTGTGTTCCTGCTTTCTTATATTTACATATAAACAACCCACTTCAGTACTTACCAGCACCACCACAGCCAGGAGGTGACAGCCCCAGCTGTACCCAGAGACCCTGGGCTTGGTTTAATTTCTGACAACTCTGCCCAGCAGGGACTCCCCACTTCTTTCTGCTGGAACTTGCAATGAAGTACATTATTTAAAGATGTGTTTGGAGAGGCTGTTTTATTGCAAGCGTTCCCTCAGTACCAATTTGTGACTCATATTTCCCCCAATCAGCTGCTTCATAGAATGGTTTGGGTTGGAAGGGACCTTGAAGACCCTCCAGTTCCAACCCCCCACCATGGGCAGGGACACCTTCCATTAGACCAGGCTGCTGAGAGCCCATCCAGCCTGGCCCTGAACGCTTCCAAGTCTCCCACTGAAGGTCTCCCACCACTGGAGCACGGGGAGCTGGGAGTCCTGTGCACAGTACCTGGGGCTTCCACCCAGAGCACCTTCCATCGGAGGGAAACCTGGATGCAGAACTTCCAGTGCAAAGCAGCACGTGTAGAAGTGCAGGGCCATGCAGGTGAATGCCAGCAGGACACAGGGGGTGCCCCCACCCAGGGGGTGCGGCTGCCTGGGCAGGCAGCACTGCAGGGACGGCCGAGCGGGACCCCAGCACAGGGCTTTGGTGTCAGTCCCACCTCAGGACACACACAGGGATGATGCAATCTACCACAGGCTCATCTGTCACCATCTTTTATCAGAGTGATTTAGAAACAGCAGCAGAGTCTGGCAAGAGGCGGTGTGATGACTGAACTTACCCTCACCTCGAGGCAGCCTGGGAAATACTGACCACAAACTTGCAGTGAACACATCCACAGCCACAGTTTTTTTCTTTTTTTTCTCTCTCTTTTTTTTTTTTCCCCCTTTGATTTTTTGTGGGTTTTGGTGCGGGTTTTTTTTGGATTTTTTTTTTTTTTTTAAGCTCATCAGCTATGGTACTTGGATTCAGGACTAAATCAAACATCTTTATTTCACTTTTCCCTGTGGTGTCCCTTTGTCACCTCAGACACACAAGTGAGGGCTCTCCCACGGCCATTGCCCACCACGGCTGGAGATGCTGGGTGTGCAGACCAGCAGCTGCTGCTCCAGGAGAACCACATCTCTGCTTCCAAGAGAGGAGATTTCCCAGCCTTGCCTTCATCCCAAGCCTCTTCTGACTATAAACCGTGTATCAGGGGCTGTAAAGAAAGGGACAATGTTAATATATTGAATACCACTGGATTTCTAGATCAGCTTATAGAAAGTATCCCTTCTTCACCAAAGTGTATTCATTTCTTCACAAGGTGAGTCATCCTCCCTGCAAGTGTGTATATATATTTTAGCACACTGGCTTCAAGGCAGCTGCCAGCACGTTACCTGTGATATATTTTATGTTCTGCCACTGACATGTCTGCCTACACCCTCCCATCTCACAGCCTAATTCTGACTACTTCAGAATTTTCCTGTTTCATAAGTTATTTACCTTACACAAAGGTAAGTTATTTGTCCATACACAGTGTTTAGAGATGAAAGCCAACACGCCTGTCATGGACAGCACAGCCTTCAAGACCTGGAGCTGCATCCCCTGCAGAAGTGGCTGATGGCAGCAAACGGACTTGCCTCAGCCACAAGGCAAACAAAGTATATACTGTAATGTCTTTAGAATTATTATTTTTTGCTGGTTGAAGCAGTTCCTTTGTCAGTAATAACAAAAAAAAGAAGGTTGGAAATAGCTGATGTAAACTGCAGGACAAGCTCTTGCAGGAGCTTGATCACTTCCCAGGCAGTCACGCTCCGCTGGGACTGACTCCTGTCACCCTGGGAACAGCTGCACTCCTATCCTGGATTTACATCCAGACCACGTTCAGGATGACTTGCCCTGCTCATCAGCAGTGGCTGGTGACAGCCCTACTTGCTTATGTACCTACTGGACAGTCATAAAATGGCATTGCTCTCATGGCTTCTGTCACCTGCACCTCGAACCCCCCAGCGCTGGTGCCTGGCGATGAAGAGCAGATGAACATGCAGGAATCACTCAATTACATCATGAAACAAGATGAAATCAAACGCTTGAGCGTGCAGAGCATAGTTTGTCTCAAATAACTAAAACAAACGTTGAAATAGGAGATGTTTGGAACTTTCTCATCTCAGTGTTTTTGTCTCAGAAAATATGACTTAGATCAAAAGGGAATTTCCCACAAGTACATTTGAATTTTGCTAAAATCACCCCATATAAATATAAAATAATAATAAAATGTTTCAGTTGTGATTGTTAAGAAAAAAATAAAATCAGCAACACAAAGAACCACTGCCTTGCTGAAATGAGAGGATATATTTAATTTTTGCTCAGCCTGACCATGACTTATGTCCTATTTGAGCCACCACCAAGCCACAAACTTTCTATGTAATTTTTGCACTTCCTGATTCCACTTCTGTGGCCAGTCCTTACCCAGACTACACTGCTCATAACACCATTTAAGCTTCAATTAAATCTTGGAGCTGCCCCCTGGACGTTCGTGACCGCTGGTGAGACCGTTCCCAGGGGATGCACCCCTGACTCCTGAGGCCCTGCTGAGGTTTTAGTATTAAGGAGCACCATGGTGTGTGACTGCTCCCCGAGGGGGGCTCAGTGGAGACCCTTCTTATGCTGTATTTGGAACATCTGGGTTTTCAGCTTTGTACCTGACAATTCTTTTCTCTCCATCAGGGCCCAGCAGCACAATCACGAGGCAAGAAAAAGAGACCAACAGTGACATAACACCACTAATATTAACAAGTTGAGTCACAGTCATTATGTCAAAATTTCCTGTGTTTGATTGTTTGATTTGCTTACAGTGTTAGTTTTTTTTTAAGTGGATGCAAACACCTTTAGAGCCCATCTAAAGACAAGCCAGCAAAGGCAAGTCAACCTCCAAACGCAAGCTGACCTTCAAACATGCAGGATATTAAATAGGTGAATTCCTCAAGGCAGACTGAGCCCTCACCACGAGCTGTGGCATCATGTTCCTCCTGCCCCCCAGCTCCTCCCAGTGCAGCAGCAGCCACAGTCCTCTGAAGTTTTTCTCACCACCAGCCCGGTTTTCGAAGCTATTTCTGGCAGCGCGGCTGAGCAGCCGCCAAGTTCTCAACCTCTCTGCGTGATCTTTTAGAACTTCCTCCAACTAGGTTTTGTTTTTTTTTTTTTCTTCCATCCTGGGCTCAACATTTTTGCTCTTCCCAGGTCAAGGAGAAGGCATCTCAGCTTGGCATCGTTCCTATCTGCCTGGCCCAGTCACAGCAGTTCTTACGCTCAGCGCCAGCTCCCGGGCGGCTGGAGCAGAGGGGAGGAGGGGACACGACTTATTTACTAAGAGCTCACCCAAAACTCTTTCTGTAGAGCAAATCCAGCCCCTTCAGGGCGAAAAGGACAAGGATTGTCACTGTGGGGTGTTAGTGCCAGGCACCGTGAGCAGACACACCCTGCCAACAGCCTGCCAACAGCCTGCCAAGCACAGAGCCCTGCTCAGCCACAGCACATCCCCAGTGAGAACCCATGGCACACAGGGCCATGCCAGAGGCTGGGGTGCACATCAAGAGAGGGCAGATATCACACTGTCCATGGTGGTGTCGGAGACGAGGACTGACCTGACTGACCTCTGTCACCCACTCCTGTACACTCCTGAAGCCCCAGGGGAGCAGCAGGAGGTGCCAGTGCTGCTGGGACAACCTGTGCCAGTGCCTCACCACCCTCCCAGGGAAGAATACTCGGTCCCATTATGGAATTTTGGCCCTGAGCTGCTGGGCCAGGCTCAGCTGCAGCCCGGGCAGGGCAGGGCTGCAGGAGGCAGCGGGCACAGCCAGCAGTGAGGAACAGCTCAGTCATCCTCACACAGCAGTGATAAACTGCTGAATCATGCTTTCAGTTTCTTCTGCTTCCAGCAAAAAGGCAACTGTGGAGAAATCACGTGATGCCATGCTCTCCCAGGAAAATCCCACGTGGATTTGCATCATTTGGAGTAAAACTCATCCTTCTCCCTTATTACCTGATTACCTTAAAATGTGCCTCCTCTTCTGTGCTCAGTATCAGCTCCTGCTAGAAATTTCCAGCAACTCCCAGCAGTCTCCAATTAGTTGCCACTTCTGCAGGCAGGACATGATGGGCAACAGCCTGTTCCTTGTCTGTCTGCATGCCCAAAACCTTCCCATTTTTTCCCCACGTGACAAACCATTTCTTTTCAACTCTCTGAGAGTTTCCGTAGGAATAATGCTTCATCTCAGGAACACCTGTTCTGTTATCCCTTCATCGAGCCTTGATTCATTCTGGCAGTTAAATTTAAACAACAAAGCCAAGCCAAGAGCACAGAAAAACCTTGACTGGCTGACTATCTACCTAAGAAACTCTGATAATTTCATTCACCTTAATCATCTGAATCAACAGTATAGAGAAGGTCATCAGGGAAACTGCTCAACATCAACGGGAAGCACAAACATGCTGAAGGGAGATTAAGATCAGGAAACGCGCCACTATTGTCCTTTCCTCTCTGTCCTGTACTTCCACCACCCCTAAATCAGGAATCCTGCCATCCTTCCTAGCCTACAGATGCATACTAAACACTTTGTTATGATTATGGAGAGGTTCAGGTGGAAAGGGCTGAAGATGTGAAGCCACAGAAGGCTGGGGGTGGTTCAGGAGAGCAGGAACCCTGGAAGTGCTGAGGCTCAGTGGGCTGCAGATTCCTCTGCAGGCAATCCTGGGTGCAAAATAAGCACCAAACCAGGTGAGGGAAGTGCTCTGGAAACAAATGAGAAAGGCAAAGAGCTACAGCCAAGTGTCTCAGAAGGTGTCCCAGACAAATATTGCCTTTCTAATTTATTGTGTTGCGTGGGTTGCTTGAGATCCATAAAGGAAGGCTTTATTTCCCCTTCACTGCCTAGAAGTCAGAATTACTTGGATCATTTGTTCCTCGAGCTGGAGTTTGGGACAGGAAAAGTTGCTCCCCATGGCAGTGGGAAGGGTTATTACAGGGTTATAATAGTAAGACTAAATTAAAGCTAAATTATAAGTCTAGGAAATATTGGCTGTAACACAACTGCAAACCCAAAGTGCTAGCTGGATTTCTTAAATAATCATAATTAAATCAACTAAATATCCAATAGCAACTTATTATGCTGTAGAGCAGGATTAATTTAGCAGGATGGTTCAAATTTTTATGAGTGCATTTTATAGTACCTGGATATCAGAGTCCAGCAGCCAAAATTATGATTGCTATTAGGCTGCAATTAATTGGGTAGGAAGCACTCTGCCCACTTCATTGTGTACGCACAAGAACAAGACACAACTTTCCTGCCAACCTGCCTTTTTTTTTAGCTGAAACCTGAGTTTTTGATGAAGCAGTTTCCTTGCAGCCATTATTTGCACTCCAGGGAAGTTCCCTGGGTGATGTTTTTCACGTTCAGTGGGTTAAGTGCTGCTGCAGCTTTCTGTGACAGAAGCAAACCCCTTTAGTTCTGCCAGTTTTCTGGCACTCGGGAACACGCTCGTACCTGGCTTTGGGCTGAGCTGTTCCTTTCCCCTGAACGTGCCAAAACAGCCCTCACCAGCCTGTTTGCCACTCAGCTCTGCACGTCTCTGCTGCTTCACTCCAATTTACAGGAAGCAATATTTTACATCCTGCTGACTCAAGGCCCTCACAGCACACCGTAAGTCCTTATTTATGGTGCGGCAACCCTTTACCTGGCTGCCCTCCCCTGCAGATCTAAACACTCCTCAACAGCTCCTTGGACACTCCTCAGCACAGTTATCGTGATTGCCAGGGTTGGGTTTGTTCCTTCAAACCACAGGATTTATTCCCAGAGTGTCTCATTCCTGTTTAATTCAGCCTCTGTGGCCAGGACCTGCAGTGACAGGGAGGGGCTCTGCTGACCCGCTGGGGTAAAGGCACACACAAGGATCTCCAGCTCCCTGCATGCACTGAGTCATTTCTCAGTCCCCTGTTACCAGGTTTGCCAAGTTGCACTGAAGCCAAGATAACAGCAATAACAACCAGATCACGGGAGCAGGAATCGATGACCCAGCAGTGGTAACCTCATCTGCCTCCTGCCAGCCCTCTGTGCTGTTATCGTCATCAGAGAGTCATAAACACAGACTGATTTGGGTTGGAGGGGACCTCAAAGCTCATCCAATTGCACCCCCTGCCATGGGCAGAGAGACCTTCCTCTA